CGGGCTCGTAACCTTACGTAAGATTACGAAGCGTAGGGTTTACGTAATACTTCGCATTATTAAATTTACTGATGATGGTGATAGTTATCAGACTATTACCAATACTGTTGACTGTAAAGTATCAACTGTTTGTAACACTATTATTCAATATTATAATACTAGATTAACTGAATTAATACATTATTCTAAACATTTGCTTTTAATTTTAATCTCATAATAAAATTATCTTAAATGAATTATGACAAATAATAAAACTAAAAACTATCATCTATATGCAGCTAGAATATAATAGCTTTAGAAGAAAAAATTGGGCAAAATATTTTGATCAAAACAATTAGACAAACCCTTTATTTAGCTAGATTAAAAAATTGTATTATAAAAAAATCTCATTAATTTTACTAGCAATATTAATACATGTCTTAAATGGTATTTAAAATATCAAAGTTGGACTAAAGTAGATTGGTCAAAAGTTTTGTAAAATGATAAATCCACATTCTCTCAATTTTAATAAAGATGCTCTAGTAAGGTTTAGCGTGAACTAAAAGATAAATGAACTTTATCCTGTATTATAGTTACAATAAAATATAACCCTTATCAAATGTACTAAGACTACTTTTCAAAAAAAAGTATGAGACTAATTGTTTTATTATTTGGAACAACAACTGATAATTCTCATATTGTTATTTTTCGTAAATATGTTATTCTGACCATAAGAAAATCTTTTTCAAATTATGATGGCTAGTTTCAAGAAGATAATACTTGGCCTTATAAATCAAAGATTACAATGACTTTTAAGCAAAAAATAATCTTCATATATTATTTTGATCAGCTTAAAGTTCTGATCTTAATCTGATTGAGAATCTTTAGCTGAATTCAAAAAAACTATCTAAGCTTATAAAAATCTTCATCTAATCTTGCTGTTCTTAATCAATATGTTAAAAAGGCATAGCAAGAAATTCTGAAATATACTATTGAAACCTAGTTAATAGTATGTCACTATGAATTCAAGCTATGATTGTGGTAAATGATGATATAACTAAGTATTAGTTACTTAGTACAAAATTTAGATCTTAATTAGCTTTAAATAAAATATTAATTGACCTTTCATTATTAATGCAAAAATATTTGAAGTTTTATATTGAGTGAAAAAGTGTGTAAATACTTTTATTTACCCTCTGTATATTATATATTATAATTTAAAGAATTATGAAATTTTTTTTTTTTTTTTAATTTATTTAGAAATATTAAAATTTATTTTTAAAGTTATTAATTCATTAATAATAATAAATTATTTTTTTAAAATAAATATTTTTACTAAATATAACTATTTAATTTTTTATATTATGGTATTTAGTAATTATTATTCAGAAATTTATTTTATTATAAAAAAAATTTTATAATTATATTAAAAAATTCACTAATATATAAATAATATATAATAAAATAATTAAAAATTATTAAAAAGATTTAAAAGTTATAATATTTAGACTAATAATTTACCTTAGATTTATGAATATATCTATATATTTAGATTATTAAAAAAAAATTCAAAAACTCTAAGTTGTATAATAAGCTTAAACAATTTAATGTATAATTATATATAATTAAATAATCATAAAAATGAAATATTTATCACTAAATATTATATATATATTATATGGATTTTTAAATAATAAAGCAAATATATAAATTATATTATTTAAATAATAAAATAAATGTATTATTATAGGTTAATTGTCTTAAAAGATGTTACTTTAGCTAAAAAAAAAGAGAGAATTTAAAAATGAAAAACTTTATTTTATCAATAATTTAATATACAGTATATAAAAAGTATGTAAGAAACAATTTATAATTTGATTAATTTGATCGAAGAAATTAATCTTTGATCATCTATTGATGGTTTTTGATCAATTATTTGTTAATTAGAAAATCTGTTCATGTAACAGAGATCCTTTCATTCGTATAACATAGAAGTGAAAACAATCATATGTTGGATGGTCATAAAAATCATGAAATTTACCAAATGTGGAAACAATCAAAAAATATCATGCCTCTCATTTCTATTTTATTAAATTAACATATTTAAGATAATCTTACTTTTTTTTTTTTTTTTTTTTTCTTTATTTTTTTTTTGGCACATTACATTAATCAAATGGGTGGTGAAAATTCTCAAAGTATTTTAAAACAAAAAGAAGAATTAGAGAAAGAAATTTATAAATTAAAAAATGATAATGCTAAAGAAATTAAAACGTTAAAAGCCGAAATTCAAGCGTTAGAAAGGAAAAATGCTGAATTGCAGAAAGAAGCTTCAAAATATCAATCTGCTCTTGGAGCGGCAATTGACTTGCAATTATCAGACAATGATGAGAATAATTTGGTTAACCTCAAAAACGATATTTTAATTTTGCAAGATTCTTTAGAAGATTACGTTACCAATTGCAAAGGTGATATTGAACTCGATATTCCCAAAATACAAACACTATTAAAGAAATATGGGAGTCAGACAGTCGTTGCAAAAGATCAAAAACCTTTAATCAAAGCGGTATTACAGCGTCATGTAATGGAACAAATTCTTAATTATGCTCATAGTTATATTGATAATCCAAAAAGTCACCAAGGAATGCTGTATGGAATCGAAACCAAACTGCATCTTAGTACAAAATTATTGTTAGATGTAGCGAGAGATTTCGCAAATAGACGTGTTGGTGATGACGATACAACCAAATTACTTCATATTAAATTACGTCAACAACTTTTTGGGGCTCTTGGTAATAGAGGATTCAATGACATGATTAATAACGAGAAGAAAATCAAACGCCACGAATTTATTATTCACTTTAAAGGCGTCTTAAACGAAGAAATTGGAAGATATCGCAAGATTAACGATCCCCATCAGAAAAACGAAGTTGAAGAAATGGCTGCCGAAATTATTCGAAAAGTAGTAAAATTATTTTTTTTTAGATTTCAAGTTCAAGAACCAGTGGCTAGACATCACTGGTGTAAATATGGTAGCAAGATAGATGATTTTATGGAAGGAGTATGGGAAGAAGATGAAATTAATGATTTGATTGTAGATGTTTGTTACTTTCCTTTAATAGCACAACAATTCGTAAGTAACGATAAGTCAAAATGTCAAATTTTCACACCCGCTAAAGTTATTACAAAACATCGTTAAATTTAGAGTTGGAAATTTTTTTGTTTATGTATATAAATTGATTACCCCCAAAATTGTTTTACAACGTAAACCTTCTTACTAAATAAAAAATATCATTGCGGAATGATCTGTTTCCTAGTGTATGTAATTTTAGTAATACGAAAACTTAAATTTCGTTTTCCATTGATAAATCGAATCTAATTTTGTAATTTTGTCCATTGACTTCATTCCTTGCAAATGCTGTGATTTCCATTTGACCAAAAAAAAATCCAAAGGTGACCTTCATTTCACGACGATTCTTAACGATTCCAGGAAGGTCGATATGAACCGATCCTAAAGGTTTCACCTGATCGTCGTCACAATATTTTGCATTATGTTTTGTTGTATAATATACTTCAAATTTCATATCCGATTGCTTTGATTTAACAGGTATAAAGCTTGAACTAAACTCTTTCTCGGGTACTACTTCCGTACCTATTTCCGCAAGTCGTTTGAAAATACCAATACGCCCGTTTTCATTACGTTCAGGCGGGTCTCCATTTTTCCACGGCGGGAATATTTTTATTCCATATGTATATTTCAGGATACGATTCAAGATTGCGAATTTAGTCTTATGCATTTTACTTGTATTAGAAGATTTTTGTAAACTTAGTCCATACATGGCCGCCCCACGAACAATTGCCGCTTCAGGTTGATTAGGAATTACAATTACCGCTTCATGTACAAATTCTTGTTTGATCCGTTTTTGTAAATATTTTGATTTACTAAAGCCTCCAACTAAAGCTATCTCGGAGCATACTCCTCGATTATTTAAAAGTTGATGTCGTATCATACGAATAATTCTATCGATGATAGGATCAAACATCTTCTTTACGTCATTGAACGTAATTTTAATCAACCATTCCCGTGCTTTCAGATTTCCTTTGATTTCTTCATCGACAAATTGTTTTAAAGCTGGAGCAATGTCTTCAATATCTAATTTATAGGGAGATCCCGGTTCATCACCCGTGAAAGGAATTTTTATACGTCGACAAAACGTTTGAACGATATTTTGATATTGACCATAATTGTGTTCTTTTAATAAATCCATGGCACGATGACCGAGCCTTTTTCGTAAAAATTGAATGAATTCATTATCAACAAATGTGCTTCCACAAAAATCCCCGGTTCGTTCAGTAACTTCACCTAATTGATCAATTCCAACTAACTCTCGAGTTGTTAAATCGACGGTACCACCTCCGCAGTCAACAATCATAAAGGAAGCTGTGAAATTTTAAAATAATAAATTTTTTTTCAAATTTTTTTTTTAAAAAAAAAAAGAAAAGAAATTATATATTCTTGTCCAATGATAACTTACTTCCGATATTTAAATCTCGTAATTCATTCTCGATACAATAAATTGCCGCAGCTTCAGCTGTAAAAATGAACCAATGATTATTAAAATAAATCGAATGATCATTATCCTAATTTCTTTTTTTTTAACTTACGTTCAGTGGTAAAATGTAGATTTGGGGAACTTTTATTTCTAATGAGCTTAGCATTACACACACATTCCCTCATTATGCATTTGTCTTTTTCCGAGAATTCTGCTGGAACGGTAAGAACCCAAAGAACATGTTTGGTAAGTTCAACTTCAGACCATTTTTGATGAATCGTTTTCCTAATTAGCTAATAAGAATCATTTGATATTAAAGCACAAAATTTCAACGTTTTATTTTCACGATGCTTGCATTAAATTAATTCGATTATTTATTATTACCTTTCCGATCTCATAGAGGTAATCCTTAATTGCTTTCTTATGATCGATTGAAAGTTTAGGTCTAAGTTTTGCTTGTAAATTACCCAGGTGTAATTTAAATAATTCAACAGGTTCTTTTTCTTTCTTCGCATTTGATCGTTTATATAATGCCGGATTTCCCCATTGTTCGACTCTTATAAACTTATAATCATACTGGAGTACTGTGTTGGTCTTGAACTCACCTGTCACTCCGGGCCACTTACTGTTCGTATGAATAATTTCATCATATATATGACAATAAGCGAATCCCTATAAAATAAACTTTTTTTTTTTAAAAAGAAAATGATGGGTCTAGATTAATTTAGATATAACTTTATATCCTTACCGAATATGTGGTACCAAAATCTAAAATTATCGGAAAACGCGTTTGGTTAAATTGATATAAAAAATTAAAAAGAAATAAATAATCATCATATAAAGGATAAAAAAGATTACTGTACCCAAACCGACAATAACACGGATATCGTTTTGCCAGTCCATTTTTTTTCAAAAGGAGTTAAAGATTCAATAATTGACGTCGACATGTATTTATAAACAAAAATTGCATGATTACATTCCGGTCTTTTATTTAACCATATTTATATTAATCAAAGATACTGTTATTTTTTTCCCAATATCACTCGATATCATCACCATCACATTATTCAAACCTTGATAAATTGTCCGAATTTATGTTATAGGCATTGGGCAATTTCATGTGCGAACATTTGAAATGCCGATAAATCAAACTCATGACTAAGATTTTTATCTATAAGTGACTTGGCGCCTGCAAAAGAGAACAATCATTCGCGCTTAATTTCGTTGTGTTACATATAGCTTTTCGAAATTTCCAATTCTGGAAACAAAAACATAAAAAAAAAAAAAAGGATATAAAACAGATTTTAGTGCTTGTACTGTATGTGACACAGGTTATATCATAATCACGTATATTAGTGGGGGGGGGGGGGTTTACAAGTTTACATTTTTTTTTTTTTTTAAAAAAAAGATGTCTTCGTCAAAGGATGATGATATTAGGGTGGTTGTCGCGATTGGTAAGATCATTTATTGTGAATCAGAAAATGTCTCATATTAATGCTTACTTTAAACATTTATCTTATTTCTTTTACCTTCAGACTTCGGTACGACGTATTCCGTGAGTACCTGTCTAATTAATGATTATGATTATAAACCTTAATTCAAATTTATAATTTCAATCATTTAGGGATACGCTTTTGCTCACAAGTCCGATCCAAAAAACATCATCGTACAAGACAAATGGATGGACTCTATAGGTTATAAAACTCCAACCATCATAAAATATCAAGATGATACATTCACCACCGTAAAATCTTGGGGTTATTCAGCAATGGTTAAAAAGCCAAGGAAGAAGAATTCTAGTCAATTAAACATGGAATTGTTTAAATTGTTACTATTAAATAGTTCTTCAATGGAACTTAATTTACCTGATAATTTGGATTATAAAAAAGTGATCACGGATTATTTGGAAAAATTATGTGAAATGATTAAAAAAAGTTTAAGCAACCGATGGAAAGATTTACATTTTTATACTAACGTGTTGACCGTGTTCACGGTACGTATAAAAAAAACTTTCACGTTGCGCAAGTTTTGATCATCGATATCGGAACTGATTTGATTTGATTAAAGATCCCGGCGGAATTTGATGATGATGCAATTCAGACGATGCGCGAATGCGCTTTTGACGCGAGATTTACTATTGAGAAATTTAGCAGAAATCTGATATTCACTACGGAACGTAAGAATAAATTTAAAAATCAATTTTTCTTTCCTGAAAAAAAAATAATAGCGTATCTAACCTTTTTTTTCGCATTGCGTCAAATTAGCCGAAGCTGCCGCGGTGTATTGTTTGGATTCTTTGAAAACAACATATAAATTGAAACCCGGAGGTTCGTAAAAAAAAAAAAAAAATTTATCATTATTATTGAATTAGGAAAGGTTTCTAATCAACTGCGTATCATGATAGAATCATTTATGGTTGTGGATTGTGGCGGTGGCACAGTGGATTTGTCAAGGCATGAAATATTAACCAATAATGGGTTGAGTGAATTAACCGAACGAACAGGTGAAAGTTGTGGATCAAGTTTTATAGATAAGAAATTTGTAGAATTTCTTGGTAATAAATTGGGAAAAAACGCCATTGAACTGATAAAAAAAAATCACAAGAGTTTCATACAATATATGGTACAAGAGTTTTGCAGACGAGTAAAGATCCCTTTTACGGGACGAAAGGTAGATTTTAAAGATTATAAGATCGAATTAGATGATTATCCTTGGATAAAAGATATCATTGAAGGGGAAGAAAAGCGATCATTAAGAAATAATGATTGGTCAATAACGGTTAGATTCAATGATGTTAAAAAAATGTTTGATCCCATTATAAACGAGATTATTGATTTGATAAGAGACCAATTAGAAAAGGATCATGCAAAATGCTCTGCGATAATGTTTGTTGGCGGATTTGGTGAATCCAAATATTTATTATATAAGATTAGAAGGGAATTTAGCAATGTTGTACCGATATCGATGATTAATGAAGCACCGAAACCTATAGTCGCGGTCGTGAAAGGTGGCGTTCAATTTGGACTCCAAAATGAAATTGTGGTAAATCGAGTCTTAAAGCGAACATACGGTATGTTTAACCACACTATCATTTAAATTCGCTCAAAAAAAAAAATACACTCCTTTTTTTTATTATTATTATTATTTATAGGAACGGATATCGTGCGAAGGTCTTTACCAAATGATCCAGCAACACAAAGACTTCCAAATGGCTATACAATAATTTTTGAAACGCTTGCGAGACGTGGTAACCAAGTTTCAACAAATGAAAAGGTTACTAGATACTATAAACCATCCTCATTAACGCAAAGTAATATTAGTTTTGATATGTATGTTACAAACCGTCATAATGTTAAATTCTGTGATGAACCAGGAGTGAAATTACTTCGTAATTGGGAAATAGAGTCTGAAATTGACGGTTATGATGATGATACGACCATTATTTTTACTTTAAATTTTGGCACTGTAGAAATTTTGGCCACCGCTGAGAGGAAGAATGGGAAGGGTAAAAGGGATCATGTTACATTCAAATGTGAATAAATAAATCTGTATTTTTGGAATCTGTAAATAGAATTTGATTGGTTGATATTATTGGCGCAATAGACAAAACTTTTTGTATATTATACATTGAGGTGTTGGTCTGTTCATTCGAAATTCGGTCAACTGATCAAAATCCGGATTAATTCATAATACGGAAATATATATTTTGAACACGGATCTTAAAAATTTTGAGCGTATTATCCGTTTTGATTTGATGAATAATACTGTAATGTATATGCTGTGGATCGTAGTATCATATATGTCACGTTAAATAAAATGCTAAAAATCCTAAATAAGTTATTTTTTTATATTTTTGAATCAATAGTGATTAATGAAGTTGAAGAACCATCTAATGATAATAGTGACACTGAATCAGAGTAACTAAGCTATAAAAAGGTCAAGTAAAATGAGAAAGTAAAATTAGAAGTTGGAACTGAAAATATTTTGAACTTTGTTTTAAAAAGAAGTAAAGTATGCAATTTTGTTAAGTAGAAGTAATAGTTGGAAAGAAGACATAAGGTTAGTACATTTATCTTACAAATGTTTATGAAATAACTAAAGAACAAAAAAAAAGTTAATGTAAATGTATTTTTAATAATTAAATAATTTATAAATTTTTTTTTAAAAAATGCATATAAATCAAAATCAAAATATTGTAAATGCATTTTTAAAAAATTCTAATATCATAAATCATGTTAACTTTAATTATGTTAATACCTTGCAGATTGACTTTTAACTATTCATTACTATTTAAGTCTAATATATTTAAAAAATTAGATTTTTAATTAGATTCAAAATTCAAATTCTACATCTAAAATATATAAAGAAACTCATTTACTAGGTATATAATTATTCTATCTTAGTGATTATAAAAAATTAAAAAATACCAATTTAATATTTTTAACTTGTAAATCTTTAAACAAAAAAAAATTTTTAGAAATAATATATTTATACCTTATTACTGAATTTCGACTTTATAAAATTATTCTTTCTGTTAAATATATTTTATACCTTCATATTGCTAAGAATATTGAAGATTCATTACTTATAATATTAGATAAATAGGAATTTAATAAAGGTTTTAATAATAATAAATAATAAATTAAATATGCAAAAAGTTATTAAAAATATGAAATCTATAACAAGTAATATTTATGATAGTCTTGTATTATATATTCTTTGTAACTTATAGTAAAAAAAGATTAAATTTATTAAAATATTAGTTAAACATGTTAAATATTTTATTGATTTCTTTATGAACTAAAACAATTAAAATACTTTAAAATAATTTATATAGCTTATAGATGAAAATAAACAGTTTGTTATTTAAACATATTTAAACTTTATTTTAAATTTAATATTAAAATTTAATAATCTCTCTTATATAACAAAGTAGTTTTTTTTACTGAAGAATATGACATTTAATTACCAAACACTACTACTATTTTAATAAAGGAGCAGTGGGATATCACGTTTTAACTTAATTAAGTTAAAGCGTGATATCCCACTTAGACTAGGTTATAGTACCACGCTATAATCTAAATACCATGCTATAGTATGAATATCGCGTTATAATCTAAATATCACACTATAATCTAGATGTTACACTTAAATCTAAATATCACACTATAACCTAAATACCATGTTATAATCTAACGACTACAACCTGATCACCATGCTTTAATCTGAATACATAACCTGGTTACCACTCTTTAATCTACCCTTTTTATTTTGATGTTACCGCTGTTCACATTCTAGTTATATATTTATACCTTTCTTGGTATTTGCATTTTTCTCATATGTATGATTTTGTTACCACGTTATAATTTAAATATCACTCACGCTTTAATTTAACTACCTCTCTTTTCTTCTTGTTTCTACTCCATTTGTAATTTAAGTTATATATTGATGATACTGACCTCCTGCGTCTGATTGGGTGCTAGATTCTATGTTAAAGTGTTTACCCTTTACGCCTATTTAGTTGCCTTTCTAGGTGCCAAAGTAGTGTAAAAAAAAAGAAAAAAAATACAGAATAGTGTCGACCAGAATGCCGAAATATGGGGTATGCCATAGGCGTACTGAGCTTGGTTGCCGAGTTGGTTACCCTCGTGAAATATTTAATAAATACATTTGTTTTATAAATGATCACAAATTGGAGCACTAGATTGAGAACTCCGTTAACAGTATTAATGATCAGAGCGCTTCAGAAATTTTGGAACCAGAGATACCATATGTCATCATATGTAATAATGAATTTATAAAAAATAAAGAAGTGTCCCAAGAAGGGCCAGCCAACTTCGGTATCACTTTTGGTATATTTTTATCTCACAAAAAAACTCAACTGGCACTGAATACCCTCTGCCATATAATATAGCAAATTCGGTTAATTCTATTAGTTCACCAGTTCAGAGGTATGATATACATTATTATGGCCAGCCCATTTGATTACCAAAAAGTGCGCCATCCTACAACTTAACTATTGCCCATTAGTTGTCAGTATATTTATGCTGATTTCACGTCCTGAAGTTGGAGATGTGATATGTATTATTGTGGCCGACCTATTTATACCATACCTGAGTACATGTCTAGAAAAATGGAGCCTTCTTCTAATTTTTTATATAATAATTACGAAGAAGGCTCCACATTTTGATGCATATCGGCTTCCCTTTCATTTACGATTTATGCCGATTTCGCGTCCTGAAGTTGGAGGTGTGCTATGTATTATCATGGCCGGCCTATTTATATCATCAAAATGTAGCCTTTATGCCACACCTGGATACATACTAGTGTTAGGGTATTCTTCTTCCAATTTTTATATAATAATTACGGAGAAGAATACCCTAAGTATCACCTATTAAGAATCTATCTATCTGCAATTTGTATTATTATGGCTAGCCTATTTATACTATACCCGAATACATATCTAGAAAAATGTAGCCTTCTGCCAATATTTATATAATAGATTACGCAGAAGGCTATATCATACCTGAGTACATACCATCTCGATGGGGGCTTCTTCCAATATTTTATATAATAATTCTGAAGAAACCTCTATCTAAAAGTATATATCTAGAAGCCTTTCATTTTCGATTACGCAGAAGACTATCCTAAGTATCACCTATTAAGAATCTATCTATCCGCTGAAGAAGACTTCATGCTATACCCGGTACATACCATCGAGATGGGGGCTTCTGCCAATATTTATATAATAGATTACGCAGAAGCTCCCACTTTCAGTTGCATATTCATTTGCCTTCCTTTTACGATTTGCTTACTAGATTGCTATACGCCTCTTTTTTACATTCTCTGAAAAAATAAATTAAACATTTCCGAATTTTATAAAGTAATATAAATATTTTCAAACTAACATCATGCATACACAAACTAATTTCGTCCAAACTGATCGCATCGGAACTCTCGCCCACTATGACAGCGCTGGCCCCGATGAATATTTAAGTGACTCAAGCAGTTGTACTGATAATAGATCTGACTTAGGGTCAGATTATTATAATGACTATGAGTCTAATTATGAATCAGATAATGAAGAAGCTCTTTGCATTTCAATCAGCACTATCAAGACTCCATTGGTTCAACCACCAAATGTAAACGAGCAAAAGATTAATGTGTCATATACTTTAAGACAGGAAAAGTTTAATGATAATTTTTCTTTTAAGGATTTGCTAAATGCTATTCGAGAAATTTTCCTATCACCACCTAGAAATATGTCAGATGAAAAGGGATTATTAGAATATCTCCCAATCTATTTATTTCTCTTTCCGAATGAAAAAGGATCTAGTTTATATAATGCTTATGACTGGGATGAAGTGGAAGATAAATTAGTTATCAAAATCGATCAAGACGATCGAGCACCAAAGTTTTCTGTTGCAGATGACATTTCTGAAGTATATGGTCTACCTGGGATTCACGAATGTATTAATGAACAAAACCCTTTAAGAGCTGTGATCGATATAGATGCTTTACAAGAAGATATGGAAGCGAATGGAATTAAGGCGCAAGAAGTATTCATTTGAATCTGCTTATCCTTTATAAGAGCTTTGTATCGAATTCTTGATTATAGCTGGAAAGATATTCTTAAAGGGTTGGTAATCGCTACATTATCAGACTCTAGCAAATATAGCTACCATATCTTATATGCACTAGCTCTTCTTATTGATCATCACGAACTCAAAGCATTTACTGAATTAGTATATACCATAACCGGTGAAAAATTCAGCAAGTATATTGATAGAGGGTTGTCTGACTAGAATTTTAACCTTCGCCTAATTGGTTCGGCAAAAAAATGTCGTGTAAAACGTATCCTGTTATCTTTGATAACTAATAGCTGGAATGAACTTGATCATGCTAGGGTCCAACCGCCTTCTAGTTTAGGACTTGAAGTGAGACCTAGAATGCTTAGCATAGAAAAAATAATAACCTGCTAAGAATATCTGTAAGATTGGATATATTACAAAAATATGCGAATCTAGTTTTGCAAAAGTATTCTAACTATCTTAGGGATTGGACTATCGAAGAAAAGGACTCAGAAAACTTCGTATATTTTAACCGGAAAGCTCTACTAGAATGTCTACAATGTAAACGCATACATGACAAGGATCAGTGGTAGTTCAATCGTGTATGTGTTAGCAGTGGGATGTTCATTGTAAAATGCTTTCGGCAAAATAGTTATGAGCACGAGGAAGTTTTTGAATGCAACCCATCTATTGCAAAAAAAATTCAGAAAGAAAATAAAAATTTATCTCCCGCCTCTCACAGGATAAAGGGTCTAGGTTTTCCTAAAGCCTTCATAAAAATGCCATCTTGGATTAAGTATAATGAAAACCTTATAGCGACAGAAATATATGAGGAGAAATATGTAAGACTATTACCCAATGAAGGTGATATCTATGTAGGATCACCTTGGGAGACAGGAAAAACATATGTTCTAGAGCATCTTACAATATCTGACGATGTGAATTTGCTAGTATTATCCACGCGTTACTCTTACTCAAATGCTGTTACTACAAGACTCAATCTCAAATCATATTGTGATATCGATGGTAATATAAATCTACCTGATCACAAGAGAGTAGTATGTCAAATAGAGAGTTTACATCGTATTGTTAATAAATGCAAATGTAATAAAAATTGTAAATGTCATCCGAGTCAATACGATTTATGGCTTGATGAAATAGTGTCTATAATTGCTCAGGCACAGAGTCATTTGGCCGGTCAATCGATAGAAAAGTTATATAAATTAGTCCAAGACGCAAGACGCATTATCGTCATGGATAATGATCTCACCGATCTTAATATCGAATGGATTAAAGCCCTTCGTAAGGATAAACTATTCTCTATTATTCACAACACTTTCCAACTCCAAA